GGGACTATCTCTTTCCCAGTGCTATTTTTGTTTTCTGGATAGTAATATATTATAATGAGAACAAGGAAGTAATAAGAACCTTGGGAAGTACACTATGGGGAGGCAGGTGTACATTATTAAGCATCTACAGTGTGTCTGGTACTTTTACATATTATAAGAACCCCAAGGAGTGGGTGTTGTGATCCCCACTGGTATATATGATTGCTGAAGCTCAGGGAAATTAAAGAACCTACCTAGAGTCACATATCTGACTAATGAAAGTAGATTCTAAGTCCATTTAAAAATATAGTAGGCCTAACTCTTTAAACAATCATCATCGCATCATCTATCTTACGGTTGTGATTTTCACTGACTGCTATCCCCCCAAGAGACTCCTGAAAACAGATCTATATATATATAAACTCCAGAAGGTTATGCAGACATACACAAAAATATGTAATTTTGGTGAAATTTAAGGAAAGCTCACCCAGATATATAAAAAGTAAATCTGTACAGCCATCTCAGGAAATTTATTATCAAGGTAAATTAGCCTTGCTCAGTAATATGATACAGCTAAAACTCATCATCATTAAAAACTATTTAAATAATTAATGATGATGTACACTATCATCTTGAAATCTTGAAATCAAAGAGATCTAGGAGTACTTTAGCATGCAATACATTCAGTTTTACATGCAACCCAGAATGACAGAGTGTGTCTGTTCTGGAATCAGATCTGGATTCATAAGTTGGCTATAGCAATTACTGGCAGTACAAGGGAAGACATTTTGGAAAGTTTCTCTAACCCTCAGTTTATTCATCTGCAAAATGAGGAAAATAAAAGTACCAAATTTACAGGGTTATGATTTATTTATTTTTTTACAGGGTTATGATTTAAATAACATACATTATTGGGGTGCCTGGGTAGCTCAGTTGGTTAAGTGTCTGCCCTCAGCTCAGGTTATGATCCCAGGGTCCTGGGATGAAGCCCCTTGTTGGGGCTCAGTGGGGAGTCTGCTTCTCCTCCTTCTGCCCCTTCTCCCGCTCATGTCCCCCCCCCATTCTCTCTCTAATGAATAAATAAAAATCTTTAAAAAAAAATTAGAAAGGGGCGCCTGGGTGGCTCAGTGGGTTAAGCCTCTGCCTTCAGCCCAGGTCATGATCTCAGGGTTCTGGGATCTAGCCCCACATCGGGCTCTCTGCTCAGTGGGGAGCCTGCTTCCCCCCCCCCACCCTCCCGTCTCTCTCTGCCTGCTGCTCTGCCTACTTGTGATCTTTCTCCTTGTCAAATAAATAAATAAAATCTTTTTTAAAAAAATTAAAAAATAAAGGCCTGACTAGCACAAAGTTGGTGCACAACAATATTACTGCATTTCTCTAAGTGATCTGGGTGTAAGTCTGCTGTGCTCAAATACATTAGGGGGCTGGGCCTTCTTGGCACCAGGAACATACCCACAATGGGAGGAGATGAGTTTAACACTCACTGCAGCGAAGCAGAGTGCTCACTATGGGATAATGTGGGGTATCTCTGAAAGGACTGTAGAACTTGTAGATTCGGGGCTTTCGATGAGTGATTTTGGAGCAGTTCCAAGGAAGGAGGGGTGAACTCCAGATTAGCTACTGCCAGAAAGCAGAGGCAATTCTCCAGGGAAGTTAGACTAGAATGAGGATAGAGCTGCAGCTGGTAAAGAAGCACAGTCACTCACATCAGCTGGGAGACGGCAATGTCTGGTATTTTGTGTGTGGCACAGTGACCTTGTTTTTGTCTGTGCTGAGACACTAAAAAGTGTTCTTGTTTTGTCTCACCTTATCATGGTCTCAGTATAATCTTGTCTATTGGTGTTCTGAGACATTGTTTATGCCCAGCTTCTAACAGCCCTTGAGGCCTCAGCGTCAGATCAGTTCTTTGACATCCTGGGGCTACTATTTTCTTTCTCAGTATGTTTTCAAAGTAAGAGGCCAGATCCACTAAGTGTGCTTAATAAGCTTTCTGGCTTAATAAAAACCTGAGTGAATTTAAAGTGAGTTGTATGTTTAAGGACACAGAATTTTAGACAAATCACAACTACTGTTAATTCAGAGGTTTACTTCATTCACTATTCTGCTCAACAGCAACGGCAGTATAAAAACAACCTAATTTTAATTTACAGATATAAAGTCTAAATGATTTTTAAGGTCAGTCTTGAATCAAGAGCCAAAGTATAAACTCCAATCAGTTTACTTTCCTCTATGAGACATACTACTAAACGTAATTAGTAAGTTTTCTGTTCCTCTGATGACTGTACCAGGTGGGCAAATTCTTTTCTTCATGTTCTTTACCAATTTCCATGGCGAAAACCAACCAACAAACAAAACCCCCTATGCATCTGTTTTATCACCGTTTAGCCAGAATTTAAAAAGAACTATACCTTCAATTCTGAAAAACCATATTGTGCATAATTTTTTTTCAAATAATGAATATCATTTTCATGAGTAATTAAAAAGATTTAATTTTTGTTTGTCCTAACACTTTCAGAGGAAAATGTTTTCACAGTGTATTAGAATTGCTATTTACCATCCTCAATGGTATTTTACATTTATGATACTTAAGTAATTCTGGAAGAGTGGATCAGTTTTAAAAACTGGCTACACAATGGCCATCTATCACCGGTTTTATTTATTTATTTTTTTAAAGATTTTATTTATTTATTTGACAGATAGAGATCACAAGTAGGCAGAGAGGCAGGCAGAGAGAGGGGGGAGGCAGGCTCCCTGCTAAGCAGAGAGCCTGATGCGCGGCTCGATCCCAGGACCCTGAGATCATGACCTGAGCTGAAGGCAGAGACTTAACCCGCTGAGCCACCCAGGCGCCCCTATCAACCGTTTTAACCCACTGAGCCACCCAGGCGCCCCCCCATCAACCGTTTTAGAACTGGTTTCACTGCCACCCTAAAATCCCCCTCACTCTGAATCTTTTGCAGTAGTCCATGACAATTCATGCAAATGACTGTCAGTCATTTGACATGACTGCCTCAGTTCCAGTGTTTTCCATGGAAGGTATTACAAATGAAAAGGCTAAGAATCATAATCTCAAGTCATACAGAACTTGTGATGAAGTAACAAAGGCTTACTTTGGTGAGGTGAGTCCCGAATAACAGCAATGCCTTTACTACAGAGTACAGAGAAGGGCACTTGCACTCACACAAGCTTCTGAACTGCCTCAGAGCACGCTTCACATTCTCAGTCAAAGGGAGAACACTTGGCTAGCATTTCTCATAACTGGAATATCAATGGCAATAATAAACAGGGTTAAAAAGGCTGAGCTCATCAAGCCTCTAAGGAATCAAAGCAAATACCAGATGCCAAACTATCTGTTACTAATTGCCCTCACCAACACTTGAAGTATTTGAGGGGGAGAAAGTGGGAAATGTCATTCAAAAGTTCTGGGGTTTCACAAAAGCAGATATACTGAAAAAGCCATTAAAATAAATGAAATAAAATGACTGTATTCATTTATAATACTTTCAGATTTAGGGTTACTTCATATCATATATAATAAATATATATGTACAATGTACATATGTGTGTATAGGTGTTTGAGTGTCTGTATAGGCATTGTGAGAAATAAAAAATATATCCAGATATAAATGAAGATCAAGGATATTTATCATTAAATATTTAAATATTTAATGATATTCAAATATCATTAAATATTTAAATATTCATTAAATATTTCAAGTGCTTTTTGTTAGTTAATTTGATACCTATAAAGGGCTTTCAAATTTTTATTAACGACTACAAAGATTCTCTAAAATTTAAAAATATTATTAAAAAAAGGGGGGATGCCTGCGTGGCTCAGTTGGTTAAGCATCTGCCTTCGACTCAGGTCATGATTCTGGGGTCCTCAGATGGAGCCCTCTGTCAGGCTCCCTGCTTCTGCCTCCTTCCTCTGCCACTCCCACTGCTTGTGCTCTCTCTCTCTCTCTCAAATAAATTAAAAAAAGAATTTTTTAAAAATTTATAAAAATGAAATAATAAAACACCTTTCTAGAATGAAAAGTACTAGCACATCTTATCATAAATTAAATCTTTGTTTATAATAAATAATCCTGTAATTTTACATGAATATGGACCATAATGTGAGATTTTTATTGCTTCAGATGTATGTTGTGCTCATATTGTAATACAGCTGAAAATAAATCAACAAATACCTCACAATTTGTTCTCATTCATTTAAAAAATATCACATGAATTATATGTATTGAGCTGAATAACAGAAAAAAATACTTGCTGTGCTGCTACTTTTATATACTTGTTGGTTAAAACTCTGTCAGTAATGGCTAAAATTATAACTGTCTGGATCATTTATAAAGAAAGCAATAAAGAGGTAATAAGACTTTTGAAGAACATCCAGAAATATAAGATGAAGAAAACCTTAGCAACTGTGATAGAAGCCATTCCAGAATTTATCCATCTGCTTAGTAAATACGGTCTTAAGCATATTTCACAAAAATATAAATCCAGTAAATATGACAAATTAAAAGATATTGGAGTCATCTAGGTATGTTAGTGCCTTACGTGATGCCACAGGAGTGACATTTTCTTGGGAAAATATTTGTTAGTAAATCTTAGTAATTAGTAAAATAGTTAGTAAAATTTTTTTTCTTTATCTTGTTAGTAAAAAGGAGACAGCACTAATGACTCACTTTAGAGCATAAGGATAACAACAAACTGTTAAATTATGAAGTTGATATTTCTTTATTAAATCATATATAAAAACACATATATATATATATAATGCACATGGAACACTACTGAATTAATCAACCTACTATGATAAACTATCCTTCAAGTTAAGCTAACAATGGCATATACACTTTTTTTCCCCAAAGTATTTAAATTCAGGTGCCAATGAACTTCTCTACCACAATTTTAGATTAACTCATGAGACTAATTCTGCAAAGTATATATATTATAGTTAATTCTTGATTTCTGCCCATTATTCTTCTTCAAAGACAGAGAATTCAAATGTTAAGTCTTACCTGACTAGGTTCTGTTCCAGTAACAGTCAAGTCTTGGATGGATCTACGTCTTGGCTGTCCGTTGCCTTTTAAAAGATTAAAAAAAAAAAGTAGAATACTGAGATCTATTCAAACAGACAACAAGGATGTTACTGCTACAGTAGGAAGCTGGAATTTGTTGCTCCTTGGATCTATACAAAATGTTTGTGGGAAAAAGAGTTAAGTCAGTTTATTGTTTAAAAAAAAAAAAAAAGAAGAGAATGTTGTAAGGAAAGGAAGAGAAACAGCTGCAGAGTTTTAACTCAAAAGTTGCCGGCCTCCAACAAAGTAGGTCCTGCTCCTACCCTGCATGAATAGCTGCTGAACTCTCTTGCACCATCTTCTGTCATGTATTTAAATAGATGAATGTTTGTGGGCTGGGGCTGATGATGGCATCTATTTCAAGGGCCTTACGTTACAATTTCTACAGCAAGACAGCTAGCCAGCAGGTAGTAGAACATGACTGGCTTTACCCAACAACAGTACCTTGTTCATTCAGAGCCTAAAAGGATGCTTAGGCTTAAGTTTATTAGACTGAGTCACACTTAACCCCATTAGTGTTTGTCAGAATCTAGTAATTTACTACTGGTGAACAACTCTTTTAATATTCCTACTGAAGAAGAATGACTCTCATTCCATTCTTGAATATACAGCTTGTTGAAAGGGGCTGCTTTAGGAACTTCCATGCTAATAATAATTTAATCTAAAAACCAGTTTACGAAAAAATTCTAAAAATATAAGCAAAATATAATGAATTAAGCAAAAGTTTCACTCAGTACTTTTATTTGGGCATAGAGCTGTTTATACGGTATCATTTAAGATGAGAGATCAGCTGTCTAAAAGGAAACACAAAAATATTGTGAGAAACAGCTGATACAATACTCAAAATTCTTTTGACTCTGAAAGCTACATAATTTCTAAACTAGTAGGCAGCTTTGAGAATGTACACTGTAACAGTTTTGGTCCAATTAGCAGAGAGAATTCATTCTTAAAATTTTATATTTCTATAATCCTCAGTATTTTATTTTAAACCAAGGAGCAATATAATTTAGCATCTTAATCCATGTGACCCCATTATTATTTTGTATGTAAACTAAAAGGACCTTACACAGAATGTTTAATGCAGTAAAATATGTAGCAAATATAAAAACTCAAGTTTATAGCTACACTCCAATTTTTAAGACATCATTTTTTTTCATTTTAAACTATGTTTTAGAATTCTCTGCATAATTTTAGCTCAAATTTACTTCAAATTTCATTTCATTCCAAGTTCCAACTTTTTAAAAAAAGGATTTTATTTATTTATTTGAGAGACAGAGAGAGGGAGAACACAGGCAGGGGGAGCAGCAGAGGGAGAGGGAGAAGCAGGCTCTCCGCTGAGCAGGGAGCCAGATGTGGGGCTAGATCCCAGGACCCCAGGGCCATGACCTGAGCTGAAGGCAGACGCTTAACCGACTGAGGCACCCAGGTCCCCTGCAAGTTCCAACTTTTGGATACAAATTAAAATAACACAAATAACAGCAAATCTGTTGAATCAGGCACACTAAGATACTCTTGTGAAAGTTTTTAACTCTCCCTGTTTCCTGAGGACAAAAAGATCCCTACCACCATGACTAATAAGCAATTTTAGGCACACTTCATTCAACACAATCATTCTAAAATTAGCTGAGATGAGACAGGCTTATAAAAAAGTGTCTGGAATTCTCTTTTCAGATTAGCAACATTTGTGAATCTGGGGAACCACCCAGCACATGTCTCTAAAAATCATTACATCACTACTGCAATAACAACAAAAACAAACTCAAATCTAAGTAGGGTAGAAGGAAGGGGAATAAAAATTTTTAAGGAAGTAGGGTAAATAAGAGGTGGACACAGTTAACGAATGCCATAAAATGAGAAATCTTCAAGCTACAAAACGAGTCAAAGCAAGCATATTAGGCAATGCATTTTAATTAGCATAACCAATGCAGAAACCATCTGGCAAAGTTTAGACAAAGCAAAAAAGTACTGTAATCAACAAATACTTGTTGCTCCAATATTAAGTTTTAAGTTATAATTTGGAAATGTGAATGTAAAAAAAAGTAAAACTCCTATTATTGCAAAAGAAAATTACTGGGCTGTGTTCTCAGTAAATTTAGCTGGAGTCTGAACTTTTTTTTTGCAATTAAAAACTAATTTAGAAACTCATTCTATATTTTTTCATGGTTCTTTGATATGTGCATACCTATATTACACATGGTAGTATAAATGAAAAAAGTAGAATTGAGGGTCAGTATGATGTCCACAGATGCCTGAACAAGGAATCTGAAACCTGCAAATGATGTCCTGAGTATTTCATTTTATAATAAATTCTGGAACTTTTAGGACTTGCCACAGGGAACAAGTGGTATTTTTTTAGAACAATTTCTCTAAGTAAGAGCAACAAAAGGAATAAACTATATCCCTAGCCCAACATAATGCCCCCACATACTCCCTTTCCCTCCAAAAAGAAAGTGTGGTTGAAACAGCAACTTTGTCAATTCAGTTGCTTTTACAATTAATGTCACAAAAACAGAATACATCTCTTCAAAAAGCTTCTCTTTGAAGTACAACTCATTTATTGAACTGGTATTTGAACAGAACCCTTTCTAGACACTCCTGTGGCTTTTCTTATTGGTTTAAGTAAGCTCATTATTTTCCTTACCTTAATTATTCTTATTTTTCTATTTTCCAAACTTCTTTAATATTCTTTTTATGTCAAAATCAACACTACATTTTCCTGGAGACATCTCTTGACAAATGTTGGAAATTCTGAGAGTCATAAGTTTTGAATATTAAAATATTTAAACAATATTAATAATTATATAAATAACAAATATAAACTATTAATGAATATTACATATTCATTAAAATATTTTAATATTAGAATTTTTGATTAAATACTGAATGGTATAAATTTTAATAGCAAAAATATTAAAATTGTGTCTTCATGTGTAAAATATATAAAATTTAAAAAATTTGTACAGCACTATACACTTTTGTGTTATATCACTGCTTCACATGAAATCATGCAATTTAAAAATGTATGTTCTCATTTAGGCTGCCACAAATTTCATATTCTTTTATTTCAACAAGTTCTGCCTCATTCCTTAGAAGGCCCCTCACGGTGGGTGTTTTTTTCCTCCTACCAAAGGGAAGTAATTATTAGTGGTATTTTACTTTCTAACAAACTAGTTTTATTAGTTTTTCGATTACAAAATGTTATCTTGATAGGCTACAATATGTAAAGACTACTAAATGTTCTCGTTAATGTTGGTTAGATGAACTTCCTTTTTAATTAGCCACATTTACAGAATTTTATTGAAGGTGAGGTGGCTATACACAACAGAAGCAGAAATATTTTAGCATAGCTCTCCTTGGGCTGCAGAGTCCCAAATTCAAAGGTTTCTAGCTGCTAATGACACTATGTGTCCAAGGTAGGAACCTGCCAGATCTACATTTTTTACCTCACTGTCTCTTCACACCAGCACTGCACTATTTGGGTGGAAAAACTACACCACCAATTGATGTACTTAAAGTAATGTTTATGAACAGGATCTACTGGTTCTTGAACCAAATATAGTATTATAAGGTTATATTCTTGTCCTGAGGGGAGAAAGCAAAACAGTGCCCAAGTGCCTCTGAACAGTATCGCAGCGTCCAGCTGTCCAGGATTGTACAAAGCCCTCACTGCACTACCCTCCCCCCACCCCTCCACCCCTCCACCCCCCATCCCCACCAGGCCAATCTGTTTGCCTATTATCTAAGATCTCTGAAACTGCTGGAGGAGGAAAAGACTTAAGTATGAGAAACTCAACTATCCATTTATTTTTGTTAAATATGCTTGGACTCTCCCATATTCTACTTATTCTATTTAACTGTTCATTATACTCATGAAAACAACTAATACAGAGCTAAATACGTCTGGCATATTAAAAGCAAATATTCATTAAACTTTTCTCAGTTAAGATGTCTAAATGTAGTTGAAATCATAAGGACACCTGAAGTTCCTTTCAGCTTTAAGAACAGTATTACAAACAAAAAATATCAATTAAATTCAGGTTCTTCAGGGACCTAGGCAAAAACATTTTACACAACTGACTAAGAAATATCTGCACATTCAATCTTCACTATTTATTATATCCTTAAGAATTGCATGTAAGACAGAAAAATCACCTCTGTTAAAGCACTCTATGATTCTAAAATGCTATGCAATATTATTTTAGCCTTATCAAAGGTACACTAAAGCACCACTGTTCAAGGTTCTCAAACAGAAGCACATTAAAGCAATTTTTAATCTATGGAATGAGAATTTTCAAGTGTTTTACACGAACGCAAGAATTATAATTTAGTCTAACCTAAGAAATTCAGTACTACTGAGTATAACAGCATAAAAACTGTTTAAACATAAATATCCTATAAAACTTTGTAGGTTACTTTTTAAAAGATGTATATATACTATAACTATGGTAGTCATATAATATCACTATTTGGAAAAATTTACTTTTGCAATATTTGGAAATATATATCATCTTAGGATAGTAATCAATCTGGTATAAACTGTGTGTAAGGGATATCATATTAAAAAGTAAGGAACTACAGAAGACTAATGTTTCAGTGAAATCTTTCAAAGGCAGTATATACGTATGTATTTGATAGTATCTTTTCAGTGGATTTCAAAATGCTTTATTACTGCAGTTGATTTCCTTAAATGCTGTAATTACTCACACAAGGCCTCCAGAGCAGAACTGCTGATTTTTTTCAATTACTGAAACTAAAGCCAGGAACAAAATTTGTATTAACTACCTAGTGTCTTATTCCATGCTTTAAATGGGAAAAGACTGTTGCTCCTGTTAACTTTTTTTTTTGACATTTTACCTGGTGATCTTTGACACCTGGATTTTTGAAAGAAATATAGATGAGGTATTCTAATACTAGTAAATATTATCAAAATGTATTATATAACTTCATAATTCATAATGCCTGTTTCATTTGAGTATCTGAGATGAAGATGGGGGAAAAAATAGAACCTTGGAAGCCTGGACACAAAAAAATGTGGGAAAGTCAAAAAAATCCAAATAGAAGAACCAAATAAACAAAAATTCACATTTTTATTAAGATCTTAGAGGAAAAAATAAGTAAATTTAAAGCAATCTAATAATAATCTACTCATTCATCTTTTCCTCAAATAAAGTAAAACAAATGAAAACGAACTGGCTAAAAGGGAGAATTGATTACGCTTTTAAAACTTCCGAGTATTAGTGGAAAACATTTAAGAAAGTCTATTTCTTTTTCTCAAAATTCATTTCAATTTATCAGTTTATAATGTTCAATAAACAAATAGATCAGAAAATGGTAGGTCAGTTTAAATCCTAAGCAAGACACTTCTATACTTATACTTACTTTGCTTAGGTAGAACACTGTTATTTTGCAGGGCACTCTCCACAAATGAAGAATTAGCAAAATGTCATACTCGATTGGCAATCTGCTCTTAACTATGTGTCACTTGGTAATAAAAAGCCAGATTGATCTATAGCCACTCTCTGTGGCTTATAGAGAAAAGTAGAAGGGAGTCATTCGCAACAAACATTGCCAACACTTCTTCAGAGCCAGGGTCAATGTAGAAAAAGTATAAAAAATTGTGTAGCTTAATCCATAGGAACTCCTGAGGTATTAAAGATCTATTTTTGCATGACCCAAGTGACTATTACATTAATGAAAGTTATTGTAAGCCACAGATTGCTTGAAGGATGGCAGAATATAAAACAGTGCTGAAGAGCAAGCAAAAAACAAGACTTGAATTTGTTCACCTCTGACTAGGCATTTCAGTTACTATAAAAATGTATTTTTTTAAAAAAACTCTTTAGAGTAACAGTGTGTACTTTACAATTTTAAAAACTTGGTACATGTAAAAAAGTTCAAGCATGACACACTTTCAAAAAGATGTATTTGTACATTGCCAAAAGTACACATGAAAGTTATCGTGACGCTCAAAAGAACACTCTTATTAAAAGATGCAGCTCATTCTAAGAAGTACATTAGACTCAGTATATTACACTTGGGCAATGGACAGTACTATTCAAAATACTTATTCATAACAGATAAGATAAAAAAAAAGCTATATTTTAAAAAAGTGCTTACAAATGGGATCCAGTATTCATGAATACCTGTTTGGATATAGCAAGAAGTTTTGACGACAGAGCTTGTGGGAAATGGACTTTCAGGAAAAAAAATTCTAGAAGGTACAAAGAAATTTTGGGAATTAAGGATCATCTTTCTTTATAAATTAAAATGGCCATGTAAGACATTTGAAATATTCCCAAAGCATGGGTTATATTTTTATATTTAATTTAATTTAAAAATACAACTTAAGAACACATTAATGTCTGGCTTTTATGTCCAACTGTTGTTAATTTCAGTGCTTGTATTCTTTTATTAAAGAAAGCAAAACTGATTAATGTTTGGATTATCTGGGGGGGGGGAGTCACCAAAAATATTTAATAAAATGTGTTACTGAATACCATCTGTATTTGAACAGCATTGATGCTCTGGCAATTAAGAGCAGACTTAAGGTTTCCTGACTCCCAACAAGGAATCAGTGTCAAAAAAGAGTCTGCTGGCCAAAGAGTTCTCTTTAATGTGAACACTAAACAGGAGCAAGGCAGAATTACTGTCTTCTCTGACTCAAACAAAAGAGGAGAAAATGGATGTGACTTGGAGTCAGATCTAGGTTGGGATCCTGGCTATTTGCCTCTGGGAAAACCACTCAAAACCCATTAGATCTGAGTTCCTCACTCCTAAAAGAGCTGTAATTTAATCTGGTAACCCACTTATAAGACTGTTGTAGAGGTCAATTAGGATGGTGTACTCTAAACTACTTTACAGGCCACACAAGAGTATCGAAGCAGTTTCTCAGCATTGGCACTGTTGACATTTTAGGCTCAGTAATTCTTGGCTTTTGGAAGATTATCTGGTACACTGTAGGATGTTCAGCAGTGTCCCAGGGTCCTGCTCACCATATATGCACCTGCCACTTGTGACAACCAAAAATGTTTCCAGATGTTGCCAAATATCCCCTGGAGGGCAAATTCATCGTGGCTGAGAACCATTAAGACTATTCTTTCTCTTTTTTCTCCCTCATTATTTTGTACAGTACTGGCTATATCATTCAATGCATGTGGTGTATGTGTTCTTAATGCTACTCATAAGACATGGCTTAAGATTATACTGCCAAATTCTAAATTCTACTGATTCACTCGAAAATTTAAAGTAATCACAGCTTAACAGTATGCATATTTGTGTTCCCACTTCTTTAGTCAAAATATTATTCCTTTAAATGCTGTACCTTTCAGTACAGAGGTAAAATGATCTCAAGTACTCTGTTAATTCTGCAAGCAGGCCATGACTCAATAAATGAAATTACTATGTAAGACATGCGTTAATTCTTTTCTCTGAACAGCAATAGTGATGGTGTTACAGAATAAAGCACTTTGAAAGAATAAAAATTACTTTAATATAAAATGGTTTTATACAGACAAAATGCCTAAGAATTGTATTATTTATGTTTTATGCATATTTATAATTTATACAGATTTTATATGTATCCTAGTTCCTAGCCATGGGAGGTCAATAACAGTTTGTTTATTTAATAGGCACATATTTATTAAACACTATGTGTGAGGCACTGTGTCAGATAACTGCTGATACCATCAGTAGTAAGTAACAAAGACATGGTCTCTATTTTGTTTTCATTTTACTAGAGGAGAAAATGACCTCTAGGTTTTCAACTTTGATACAATACTATGCTAAAAGCACAATTACAGGCAGTGTATAGAGTGCTGAGGAATTTACCCAAATCATACCCATGAATGTGTGTGGGGAAAATTGTGTATTTCTTTTTAGGGAAAAGGTCGAGGAAAACCCAAAGCAGATGGAGAAATAAATGATAATTCTGATGACATATATTAACCAATAATGAAGGTTACATATGCCATTTAAGTTTTTGTCAAATATGGTGATTTAGATTCATCTATGAAATTATTACCGTAACAAATAAAAGCAATTTACCAATTTGAGATGCTGAAGTACCATGTGTGAGTTAGGTATAAAAACATAAAATTTGCAAGAAGATTCTCTTGATAGCATATAAGAATCAGAATTGACCATGATTCTTTGGCAGGATACCATGCAGCAAATCTCATTTGGTTTTACTTTGTTTCTATCTTCTAGGTTAAGGCAAAATGGAATTTAGCAATTCTTTTTTCTTAACTTCAAATTTCAATTGCTACCAACAGAAAGAGGCTTGGATAGGAAGCCTAGAGGGAACCCGAAAAGTAGAAAATAAGGAAGAAAAGGAGCCAAGGGACAACAAATATTTTTAAATAGTTGTTTCCTCTTTCTGCTGGGTGCAAAAAAAGTCTTGGTTCAGCTCATCTGCTCATTTAAAAGCAGCAAGCAAGCTGGTAAAATTCTAGGCTAGTGTTCTCCCTTCTGGGAAAAGGTTTACTACCCTCCTTTTTGGAGATTTAAGGTATCCTGTCAAGTCTGCTTCAGTATATATAAATGTATAGTTTTCAATCTGTCTTCCTAGTCACTGCATGCAAGGTATCTATTTTTATGTCCTAGACGAATTGGAGCAAGAAGCATTTTATAAGTACCAGGGCTCATTATTTCGGTCCCACAGCTATTAGACCACCTGAGTTGGTCTATGATACCTGATATGACGATCTCAGGGACATCCAGAATGTTGCCAAATGAAGCAGTTTTACGGTGGCCCCGTTTAGGCTTGGAATAGGCTGCAAAAACATATATATACAGTATACATGCAAACAACCACAAACAGTAACACGGAAAATGATTAACTACAAAACCAGAATACTTTTCAAATAGTTATGTTAATAATACTTCATGCAGAATGGCATGCAGAACTATCTAGCTTTTTATCCATGCTTAGAAAAGGCATGATTTAGGAGAAACAAACTATCAATAAAGATGTTTCATATACTAGTTTTATTAGCAGTAAAAGAAAACAAAAAGGACAGAGACAAACAAAGCTGCAGGGTAATAACAAAGCTAAATTTCAAACATGTTCACAGAAACAAACTACCTAAGTGAAATCACTGATAAGCGACGGGAGGGCTAGGATGAAAGTGGGAAGGGAGAGAGGAGTTAAAAAGAAATAAGCTGCCATATTTGTTTTAATCACACAAACACAGGAATATATGTTCAAATCAGATGTTTCTTGAAGTGTGCTATAAAGTAAAATTTGTGATTAAATGTAATTACTGAATTGAAGTGTGAAATGTTTATGCTTTTGTAAATAAATATTTACATATACTTCTATTAAACTGAGTATTTACTGTACTTTCCAAAGTTCAAGGTGCACTGCCATTAAATATGAACAGTATTAAAAGCTGGAGAGTATGAGTTTTTCAAAGTAAGACAATCATAAAAAATCTGAACTATATAAAATTCAGTGACGTTCAACAGCATCTGTTCTATATTTAGAGAGGGTAGGATAATTTAAATATGGTTGTTTTTAACCTAGTGAAATATCACTTCTGTAAGGAATAATTATAAACTAGTGCCTGACTAGAAAATTGACACTAGCAAAGATATAAAAACCGTTATAACACCACTTCTTTTTTTAGAATAGCAATCATTATTTAGCAGTTCTAATTTGAATGATATCCTTCAAGTGAAAAGGTTCCCCAAGTGTGAAGATCTATCACTGTGTGCACTATTCATCTGCCACTACACTGAGATGCCCTCACCCCACAGAAAAACACCTGCGATTCAGAGACCAGGAAGGCTTGTTTGTTAGTGGCTGGTGAGCTTCATTCAACTTGATCATTTATAAAGATCTTCTGTGTGGCCAAGACTGCCAGTCCCCTGCCAATCTCTATTCTTCCCTCCTTCTTAGCAGTAGAACCCTGACTTTACTCAGGATAGCAGTGTTCCCAGATAAAAGATCACAGATCCTTTTTTCCCTTGCAGCCAGGAGTAGCCATTTGACCATATTACTATAGCCGAAGGCATCTATATGGAAGTTGTTAAGGGGAACTTCTGGTAAAGATCCTTGAAAGAGCCTGGGCGTGGACCCTTTGGCCTTTCCCTAATTTTCCTTTCTTGCTGCCTGGACTGTGGATGTGATGACTGCCGATTATGACAGCTATTCTGGAGCACAAAGTAACCTTGAGGATGGAAGCCACACAATAGGACTGTGGCCCAGAGACAGAGGAGCTCAGGTACCTAATGATCCTAGAGCCTATCTTCAAATTTCTTTATGTGTGAAAAAGAAAGCTTATGTGTTCAAGACATTGTTATTCTGAATATTCTATTATAGCTAGCTGATTCTAATGCTGATACAATCAGTGTTCATTATTAGATGAAGACAAGTACAATATGATGGTCCTCTGGAAAACTTCTTTCTGAAAAGAGCTCCACAAAAAAGGGAGAATATTCTATTTAGAAAACAAAACAAAACGAATGAATGAGAAAAAAGACCTAAAAAAACAAACAAACCAACCTGGTTAGCTAAATTAAAAATGTATATGAAAATACATGATACATGAAAATACACATGTATACACATATATGGTTAAAAGACCAGAGGTAAATACACAAAACTGTTAAGTGTTTATTTCTTAGTGGGACAATTATGGAAAACTGTTTTTTTGGTTGTTTGTTTCCATTTCCACATTTCCCATAAAAGAAATGTATTTACTTTTATAATTAGCTTCCCTCTACCCCTGGAAGAACTGAAAGAAAACAAATTAAGCCAGCATTATTAAGCTGAAACCTGGTTAGAAAGAAGGTTACAAGTTCACTCAGGTAATAAAACATATACAATTGACCCTTGAACAATATGGGTTTCAATTGCGTGGGTCCAATTATATGTGATTAAAAAAAATATCGTATAGTATTATAAATGTATTTTCCTTACAATATTCTTTTTTCTTTTTTTAAGATTTTATTTATTTATTTGACAGAGAGAGAAAGAGTACAAGCAGGGGAAGCAGCAGAGGGAGAGGGAGCCAGATGCGGGGCTCTATCCCAGGACCCTGGAATCATAACCCGGGCCAAAGGCAGATGCCCACCCAACCAACTGAGACATCCAGGTGCCCCTATTTTCCTTACAATATTCTTAATAACATGTTCTTTTCTCTAGTTTACTTTACTGTAAGAATACAGTAGAAAATACATATAATATACAAAACTTGTTAACTATTTGTTACTGGTAAGGCTTCAGGTCAATATTAGTAGTTAAGTTCTGGGAGAGTAGAAAGTTACATGTGAATTTTCTTTCCTTTCCCTTTTTTTTTTTTTTTTTTAAATGATTTTATTTATTTGAGTGAGAGGAGAACATGAGGGGGTGGGGAGCAAAGGGAGAGGGAAAAGCGGCTCTTCACTTAGTCTCTTCCCTGACACGGGGCTCGACCCCCTGATCCTCAGATCATGACCTGAGCTGAAGTCAGACACTTAACTGAGTCACCCAGGTACCCCTGGATTTTCATTTATTTATTTCTTTATTTATTTTTATTAGGTTTGATTGATTTATTTATGTAGGGAGACAGCATGAGCCGGGGGAGAGGGGTGAGAGAAGAAGCGTGAGAAGCTCAAGTAGACTCTCTGTCAGACACTCAAATGACTGAGTCACCCAGGCAGGCACCCTACATGTGGATTTTCAAATGCATGGCGGGTTGATGCCCCGAACCTGGACGATGTTCAAGGGTCAACTGTAATTGTTTTTGTGCTAGCCAATGCTTTTGTAATTAATCCTTTTAAGAATTGAAAAAATGTAATTTAAATGCTAGTTTTTCCAAGATTGAATAAAATTACCACGATCTTTTATATAGCAATTAAAAGAATTAGCTACACCCAACTTAGCTATTTTTGCTACTGGAAGGAAGAGGTGCAGATAGTAAGGCCAAATCATATTTGGATCTAGAGTACATTTTTCTACTAATTTCAAAACAAAGTATTTGCTATTATTTGAATTCAGCACAAATTCTAGTAGAATCACTAAAAATCCTCTAAAACATTCTGGTTTTGGCAAAATTTCAATTTTCCACTTAAATTTTCAGTTCATGTTCGAGCTGAATTACATTTGATAAAAATATATTTTATGATCCAAATAATTTTACAAGTCATATCTGCTTTATTTGGAACTGGAGAAAAACATATAAATTATCCGCTAGAAGCTTAGAAAGTATCTTGTAAGCCTATTTCCTGCTTTAAAAAATTTTATGACACAAAAAACCCAATACTCCCACTGCTGAAACGATTAAAACTACTCTTTCTACTCCTCTTCAGATTTTTATTTCCTTTTTACCTGTGGTTGCAGCAATCCTGGCTTCTATTTCAGACATGTCAGCACTCATCCTCTTGCCCTCGGAGGTTGGGGGCAAGCTTTCCACGCTGCTCCCACGGGAAGCTCCCAAGCTTAAACGTCCCGATTCACTCTGTTAAAATTATAGGTCAATTTGAATTACTGAAGCTCTTTAAATTGAAAAATCCTGGGCAGCCTAGGATGAGAAAGATATCACCTGAGATCCTTAATGGATTCTGTTCTGTTCTGAAAGAAAAGGGAAGTTTTAAGGGAGAGGAAGCTGCAGGGGTAAGGGACAGCAAGCTCCAGAAGGGGCCTTTAGGAAAGGGTAGTCACTGGAGTTGGGAGTTAAAGGCTACAATTATTAGTTAACCTAAATGCCGCAGGTAAGATGAATGAAATCACTTAAAATACTTTTAAATCAATAATAGCAAAAATATATCTGGACAATATGAAATGATAGACTTAGGGCAAACTCCTTTAACTGGGCAGTAGAACCAAGAAATAAGCATTTTACTTTTTTTTTTTTTAGCATTCTTACATTTTTAATCATCAACCATTAAAGTTAGGGAACATCACAGGCAGGGAGCTGCACTGTTGGCAAAGGCAGCAAACATCAGAAGGGAAAATAATTTGATCAGTGATAAATAGTTGGAGAATCTCATTTTATGTCTCTATTCTTATCTGTCTGCTTCAGGAACAAGATTCAGCATTAGTATAATGGAAGGTAACAAAAAATTTCAGTTAGTATAAAGTTATGACTACTAGTAAGGTCATCACATTTTACTTTTAGTAACAAAACAAACCTGTTGCTTTGCCTGATTTTTCAACAATTTTGATTCTAAGCGTTTAATAGTATCATTTGTGGCAGGAACTTGCTCCATATTAGTGTCACTTTTATTACTGGTATTTGTAGAAGCGATGTCCATGAATGAGCCTAGGAAAGTAGAAATATTTATGACTACAGGTTGGGAATAATACAGAGGCTTCATTCAATAATATGTAACTTAAACTCTTTTCTAAACTAACAAGACATGAACAGAAACAAAATAAGACTTTTCAAGCCAATGAAGAGATCTAAACCCATTTTAAATGAATTTTAAGGATAACACAAAAAGGGAACCAAAATGCTTAATCTTCTAAAAATCAAGGATGACTATAAGATTCTTAGCCTCAGCTAGTAAATCAGAGCAGCCATTAATCAAAGTTGGGAAGACAACGGGAGAAGTAAGTCTGAGGGGAATGTCAGGAACTTAGTTTTTGGAAAATGGTAAATTTGAGTTCCTATTAAAGATTTGTATATATTTGGACAGAGAGAAAAACAGCGAGAGAGGGAACACAAGCAGGCAGAGTGGAAGAGGGAGAAGCAGGCTTCCTGCCGAGCAGGGAGCCCAACATGGGGCTGGATCCCAGAACCCCGGGATCATGACCTGAGCCAAAGGCAGATGCTTAACAACTGAGTTCCTATTAGATATCAAGTAAGGAGTTGGATATAGGAGTATGAGGTTCAGGTCAGGGAGGGAAGAAAATATCAGCAAATGGATGGTATACAGAGCTGTAATATTATGAGACTACTGAGGAAACGAGTATAGAGAGATAAACAAAAGAATATTAATGACTGAGCCCTAGGCATGCTGACATGAATAGGTTGGGAAGGTAAAATTACCAGCAAAGGAAACTATCAGAGAAAGTGGCCAGAGATAGAAGATGGAAATCCAGGCTAGTATGATATCCAAGAGACCAACTAAAGAAAGTGCAACATATAAGGAGAAAGTAATGAACTGTGTCAAATGTTGCTGAAAGCCAAAAAAGATGAGAACTGGGGGCGCTTGGGTGGCGCAGTTGGTTAAGCATCCAACTCTTGGTTTTGGTTCATGTCAGGGTCATGAGATGAAGCCACAAGTCAGGCTCTGTGCTCCTCAGGGAGTCTACTTAATATTCTCTCCCTGTCTCCCTCTGCCTTTCCCCCACGCTTATGGATGCACTTCCTCCCTCCCTCCCTCTGAAATAAATAAATCTTAAAAAAAATGATGAGAACTGAAAATCATTTCAATTTAGTCATGTGGAGACAAATGGTGACCTTGACAAGAGCAATTCTGGAGTAGTGGTATAATAAAAGCCTCAATAGACTGGGCAATAGAGAATGAGGAAGAGAGAAGCTAAGAGGATGCAAATATAGACTATATATGCCCTGGGAATGATTCCAGTAGAAAGGCTGGTGATGCAAGAGACTGAGGGAAGAACTGCTGCAAAGAGCAGATGGGATATAGTGCACAAGTAGACAAGCTTGCCTCTGGTGAGGAGCGTGGAGAGCTCAGCCACAGTAACAAAAAGAACGTAGACCAGATGGGCACAGATACATAGGTAGGTGGGCAAATGTAGTAGGGGAGCCTCTGGGAGCTATCTTCTGATCATTCCAATTTTTCAAAGAAATAGGTAAATAGGATCAGCTAAAAGTGAGGAGTGAAGAGGAGGTATTTGAAGTTTGAGGAGAGAGGCTAAAGTGTAAAATTAAGTCACCCAGGCAAGAGGAGACAGACTAAACTACAGTACAACCATCCAGCATCACTCTATCACTAAAGCATTTGAAAACAGTAAACACGTATTGTCTCCAGCCACATTCAGTTGCACAGTTACAGGCAACGGCAAGCTGAGTGTCAGACCGAACCATTTGTGGTTTAGTCAAACAAGCCTAAGACAAGAAATTATAATAACTATCTGGAATTAAGTGAAGGGAGGATAAAAGGAAGGATCTAAGAGAACTGTGGCTCAGTGAAAAGATGGAAGGATCAAAGGCCTGAAGGTCACAGTACTTAAACAGGGACAGAGTTTGGAGGTGGTGGTAGAAACAAATAAAGGAATTTTAGAGAAGTTCACTTTAGAATTCAGAGCAACTTAAAGATTTTTAGTAAAAATAGAATTTGGAAAAACTATTAAACCAGCTTAAAATAAATGTAATTATTTTTGAGGTGAAGGAAACATCAGCAAACTTATTTTTCAGTAAAAATAAAATTTTAAGTATGGGATAAATATATGTGTACATATACACATGTATCTTTTAGTTGTAATTAAATTAATGAGTGCTTAAAATGCCATATATTTTGAAAAGCAGTTTTTCTAAGTTAGAGACTTATTTCTACTGTCTCTTCTGATGATCACAAACTACAGATCCTACTACTCCGTATTTAGAAAACTAAGGAACTTTGAACTAAAAATAAGAGTTCTTAAATAAGAGTTTCTATAGACTCTTCTATAAAGACCAAAAAGAAGAGTGTTCATGATAAAAAAATATGCAGTTTTTAAAATTTACAATGATTTCTAATATTATTTGATTTACCCATATCTGTGTAAAAATGATTATTTTTCAAATAAAGAATGACATCCCAGCAATACAATATACTATCTTTTTATATTTAACTATACAAGAATTCTACGACTTGGAAGCAAGACTTTAGTAACTCTTTAATCTGGGTACCTTCCTGAAGAATGATGCACCTGGAAATCCAAATTGCAGTCAATCATATGAAATGAAGAAATTAAAATGCAAATGGAGACATCATCCATTGCCTCTTGATTATAATTTCATGGGAACAGAGACAAAAAAAAATTAAGTTATTACTCTTCCAATCTATCCATTTACCTGTACTGGTGGCAGAGTTGCTCTGTCCTTCATCTGAATACTGACAAGGGTACTGTAATGGCTCATCTGCTCCTGGAAAGTACTATATATGAAAAAGTAAATCAAAATTTAAAATTTCTTTAATACAAAATAAATACTGTAAGAATTAACTCGAAGAATACACATTAATTATTTCCTTGTCCTGGGATGTGAAAGTAGCGGAGATGGTGCTTTATTTTCCCTACAGCATATACTGAATTTATAGAGGTCTAAACTCAGTATATGCCTTAAGTTTGTGAACTTGCAAAGATGATGATAATGTGCTACTCTTTTAAATTTCAACTGTGATCAATGCTGTGTATGTACTTAAGTAGTATCTATTTTACACAGAGCCTAGATACTCCTCAAGAAAACAGCTATATTTTTCTAGAGGAACATACCAAATATAATAGTATTATTCCTTGTACTTAGGTAAAATGTATTTATGTTCTCATAGCACCGATACAAACTTTCAAATTGTTAAAATTATTGTCAGTCTGACAACTGAGTTTGGTATGTCAGAGAATAATCAGAATATTTTGAATATCAAAGACAGATTATGGCTGTTCCTCTATAAAATGGAGATACAATATTGGAAATTTTGCTTGTCAAAAATTAAAATTCAGGGGGCGCCTGGGTGGCTCAGTGGGTTAAAGCCTCTGCCTTTGGCTCGGGTCATATCTCAGGGTCCTGGGACCGAGCCCTGCATGGGGCTCTCTGCTCAGCAGGGAGCCTGCTTCCCCCCACCTCTCTGCCTGCCTCTCTGCCTACTTGTGATCTCTGTCAATAAATAAATACAATCTTAAAAAAAAAACCCTAGAATTCAGGGAAAAAAAGAAAGGTGTTCTTTTCAAGTCAGACAAAGCAAATATAAGTACAATTACAATCTGAACAATTTATATATCCCAATGTTTTAAGGTATCTCACTATGAAAACTAAGTTGTTTTCTTATGAGCACATCTTTAGGGCCTAAAATTGTACATATAGCTGGTACCCACCCACATATGATGGGTTAAACTTTAATCAAGTTAGTGCAAGCTTGGTTAACCTAAATCATTTTCAGTAGAATAAACAAATCTTTGGCCATCTAGGAAGTCTACATTTAAGGAGACTGAAAGGTTCTTCTACCGAGCAAAATTATTCTACTGTTCTAAAATTCAGGCACTTAATAAGTATGTGAACTTTTAAAGTCAAAGTACCACTTGGGAGATTTTTGTTAATGTACCAAAAACTAGAGGCCTAAAATTATTAAAATAATTCCAAGTGTCTGCTTATTATAGACTAAGAAATTTTGATAATCATTTGAAAGGATTCTTCTAAATTAAAAATTTCTATTAAATACTAGATGTTTAACTTTTTAATGGTACAAGAAAAGCTAAAAATATGTAATTAAACACCAAAAGGTAAAAATCATGAAATACATGTGTCTGGGAATACAACCATTCTATTGCCTTGCAAAAATGACTGCTTGATGAAGATCTATACTCAAGAAAATTTCAAATTTAGTTTGTCAAGTATTAGAGTAAGAAAATACCCAAGTCCTGTATAAAGACATCTAATTTAGCTTCTCAGATTACAGATGAGGAAACAGGCCCCCAAACAAACACATTTGTTCGCTAAATTAAGCAGGAGGAAAAAGCAAGTTCAGAAATCTAGTTAAGCTATCCTTCCATTACAAAGAACTAGATTTTTTCCCCCAAAATAAGTCTTCTCCTCTGATTATATGAGTAATAAATGCCCATTCTAACTTGGACAATACAGGAAAGTATAAAGCAGAAAACAGCAATATGTCTTTTCACTTTAAAATCCCAGACTCAGTATATATCAAATTCCCCTAAATCCAAAGCCCCTCAAAAGAAGGATTATACCCGCATCAAGTGAGTCATTATTTTCACAATTTCCTCCATTGAAGGGCGCTGAGAAGGATCTTTAGACCAACAACGAGTCATCAGGCTCTCAATGGGCTTAGGTAAATTTTTGATCAGTGGTGGTCGAGTACCTATAATTGAAAATTAGAAGGGGGGAAAGAATGGATTTACCCAAAGAATGGTGTAAGCTTTTTATATGTACTCCCAATACAGTATTTATTTTATAGATCTTATAATTTAAGATTTATTTTGGAATAATAAATACTTTTTTTTGTCTATTAGGTTTACATTATATTTTCATAAAGGGGAAGGTACACCTTTCCCAAAGTTAAATTAAAATATATGCAGTACAGTAGGAGTAAGACTGAGAAATAATATCTCATTTGTTCTAAACATTGTTCTTTTAACAAGTAATAATGGCTTAATGGGTGCTTTGAGGTAATCTTACTTGAACTAGGTAGGTTTTCAGATTCACTATAAAAATTTCAAATGTGTTTGAAAAATCACCTTCCATAACAGAAAAGTCATCAACTATGGTGTTATACTCACTGATCTCTAAATGACTCTTTTGTCAGTGGCAGACCTTTCTGGCTGCTGTGAATCCATCTCTTCACCAACTGAAACCTGTCAACTTCTGTGTAATTACCAAGATTAACAGAAAGGTCCCTAACCGAAAAAGAGCCTCAAATATAATGAAATCCTTGTAATTTTACCAACTAACAAGTTAGTTCTTTTATTCTGTACTTCCCCGACAGTCAATTATTTACTGACAATTAATAGAAAAACAAAACACATTGTCTTAGTCAATGCTCCAGCATTCTCTACAATGACATTAAAGGTGGTAAAATGAAAGACAGTACAGGAAACTAAGAACACTTAGGATTACTCATATGATGGTACTGTTTGACAAATCTATGAATGATGTAGTTAGGCAGGTATTTTTATGATCTGTGGAATAGTGTACTAAAATGCCAGTAAAATTTAAATGCCATAATCAGAATGATTATAACCAATTGACAGAAATTAAATAATAGAGAATGATATAAAAATAAAAAAGGTTAAGCAACTTCCCTCCATGAAGAGTTTATTTTCCCAAATCAAATGTGAAATAACTTGATTAATGAAGAACATGTATTCTAATATCTTCAGTGGTTAGAAACATCACAACTACATGTCTAAAAAAAGCAGGAGGGATAAAGGACACTGAGTTCATAAGTCAATGTAAGTTAAAAATAGGGACACTGGGAATCAGAAAGATCTGGATGGGAATCCCAGCAATACTTTACTAATCTAATGACCCTGAGTAACTTCCTTTCCCTCTCTAAGTCTTGGTTTCTGTAAAATCGTATAACTGTTAAATGAAGCAATAACATACTCCCCTTATAAGGATGAATGAGAAGATAAAAAGAAAGCATATGTGAAGCACTTTGTGTTTTGCCTTTATGAATAGCTGAAGTAACAATTCTTATTATTATTCTTTGCTCCCTCAGGAGAAAAGGCTATACCTCCTCAATTACCCTAACCTTGAAAAAGATTTTATTTATTTATTTTTAAGTTTTATTTTCTCCACAGAGTCCAATCTGAAGCTTCTCTATTCCCTAGAGAAAGCCAACCTAGGTAGTCGGCTCTGGCTGTCTACTGATGGCCTTTCCTTAATTAGCAGGATCAGCAGACCTCCTCAGCCTTGGGCAAAGGACAGGACCACTCTCAGTACTGCCCTACCTGATTCTGGGGGTGAGGAGAACTGGACATTTTAATGTTAGAGATAAATGGTCTTCTTTGGGGTAGATACAATTGTCCAGACAGAAAATATACAAAATATATAAAAGAAAAATTTCTTTTTACAAACCGTTATGAACAGCCCACATGATACGGAAAGCTGGGCCACCAATCTCATCAAAGGGTTTCCGACGTGTTATCACTTCCCAAAGGATAATACCCCAGCTGAAGACATCACATTTTTCACTGTAATTGCTACCTAGAGAAAAAGGTGGTATAATTTCAAGACTCTTTTCCACATGACTTACAGGAACAATTGCTTTCATAAATTTTTAAGAATGAGCACTATGTACAAAAACAGGAGGATGCTGCATGTATAGCTGAGAAATTACTCTTTCTTAATTTCTTAAGTAACTTAAGTCTCTGCAACAAAACATTTATTTATGAACCGAATATTAATGATGCACTAAAAAACCCCACTTTAGAAAGGTGGTCATTTTCTACCTTTTCATGGAGAGCCACAGGATTTGTCTTTTATTTATTCAGACTTCCACTTTCTGTGAGGCAGAGTATAAGACATTTGTACTTTCCTTTCCTTCATTTTTTTTTAAAAGATTTTATTTATTTAATTGATAGACAGAGATCACAAGTAGGCAGAGAGGCAGGCAGAGAGAGAGGAAGGGAAGCAGGCTCCCTGCCGAGCAGAGAGCCCGATGCGGGGCTCGATTCCGGGACCCTGGGATCATGACCTGAGCTGAAGGCAGAGGCTTCAACCCACTGAGCCACCCAGGCACCCCTCCTTTCTTTCATTTTAAGAATTTAATTTCATTCTTAAATTTTCCTCCCCCATTCATTACTCTACTATCACAACAGAAGAAATTTCTAATTAAATGATAAAACTTTCTTTTCAGTATCTGGCAAGACAAAAATTCTTAATTTGCAAACTTTAATGTTGTAAGCAGTGAAAATGATGGATAACAAATTTTTCAGAATGATTATAACCAATTGACAGATTATGCTGCAAAATTTATAGGATCACTAAATTGGGCCCATTAGCAAACTACACAGCAAAAAAACTCCCCAAACCCCCAAAATCCATGTAAGAATGACTATAGTACCACACATGCACTAAGAAGTATACTGTAAGCACTAAAATATTAAAATCTAATTTGGGTAATAGGGACTGACATCTTTCAGAAATGAAGAAATCACTATAGCCTTACAGTATGAACTTTTATTACTCTGAATTATTTCTGGCTTCTGGTATAAATAAGTCTTTTTGCTCTTCACATTACAGTAATACTATGTGATTTTAACTCACAGAAAAGCATTTTAAATAAATTGTTTCAGGGGCGCCTATGTGGCTCAGTCGGTTAAGCGTCTGCCTTTAGCTCAGGTCACAATCCCATGGTCCTGGGATCGAGCCCCACATAGGGCTCCCTGCTCCATGGAGAGCCTGATTCTCCCTCTCCCTCTGCTTGCCACTCCCTCTTATCAAACAAATAAATAAAATCTTTAAAAAAATTGAATAGTTTTAAATCAATGTATTCTGTATATGAACTTAAAAACAGGGGGCGCCTGGGTGGCTCAGTGGGTTAAAGCCTTTGCCTTTGGCTCAGGTCATGATCCCAGCGTCCTGGGATCGAGCTCTGCATCGGGCTCCCTGCTCTGCGGAGAGCCTGCTTCCTCCTCTCTCTGCCTGCCTCCCTGCCTGCTTGTGATCTCTCTCTCTGTCAAATAAATAAATAAAATCTTTAAAAAAACAAAACAAAACAGGAAGCACTATTTAATTTTGTACAATTTAACGTCTGCTGGTTCATTCACTTTTTAACTGAATTTTATGGCAAAACAGTTCCACTCAAGAGACCAACTGCATTGGCAAATTTCTCTTTCTCTCAGGTGGCTAAAAACAAAGAAACAAAAAAAACGTTAAATTCATCAAAAATAAAAGAAATAAGCCATAATCAGAATCTGATTACTGAACATATCTGAATTTAATGGACATACTTTCTAACACACAAATCACACATCTTCAGTTCAACTTTTCTCATTTAAAAGATAACTTGATGTTTTCATACAGAAAGGTATTATGAAATTTATGGATCATTCTTTTAGAACTTGAGTGAGATACAGAGATGTAAAAGAAATTAAACATCTCATCCTTTACTAGTCTTTCTCGGTATCATATTTCTACCAAATTACTTGCAATCCTTTTAAGGCATGCTCATTTAGACTGTCAGTTTTTAATTGCTAGGAAATCAATACAAAGTACAACTGATTCTTGTTATTCTTGGTGTTTATGTTCTATAAAGTTTCTGTGAAGACTGGACTAGTGAAAGCTGAGTCATTTGCTCATGGGGGCAATCAGGGTTAGGTTCCTGTGAACCTCTTAATGTCACTGATCAGTATATAACCTTGTTTTATATGGGTTTCTGTTTAAGACACCTTATTTAATATATATGTGAGTTCATTAACATTGACCTCATGGAACAGCACTATAACTCATGTCTGAATAAAGATTAGCTAGCATATTTCTCTGTTAAGACATATCACAGCCTTGTTATACTTAGAACCACTAGAAAGCACTTCAATGCTGCCCTTGGAGGCCATCTTAAACAGCGAAATCACCAACAAAAAGCACATAAAAAACGAAAAAAACACAGCACTAAGTAGATCATTAAAATGACACAATATAAGAGCCGAAATAAGAAGGCAGTGTGTTGTCTTGCTACTTAGCTGGGAACATATGTTGGACGACTCAAAATGTTCCCCTGCTCTATACATGCCTGCAAATAACCATGAAAGAACCATGAATACTGATTTTCAGGTTAAAAATAGGCACATTTTACAGTTGCAATAGGTGGAAAAGGAAGATGAGGCTTGACTGTACATATACTTGAACTTGCATAGGACACTGCTAGACAACACAAATCTTGCTATGAGATTTAAGATCTAGGGCTGTATTTATTACTGCCTCTTAGACTTTAGTACCGTTGACCTGTGAATACTTGTATGAATTGCAGAGGTCTACTTAAATGTGATTTTTTTTTTTTGAGAAATACAGTACAATACTATAAATGTAGTTCCCTTACTGTTTTCTTAATAACATTTTCTTTTTTCAGTTTATTTTCGTGTAAGAATATAGTATATCATACATACATAAATATGTGTTAAAAGGCTGTTTATTTTATCACTAATGCTTATGGTCAATAGTTTTCTATAAGTATTTAAGTTTGGGGGAGTCAAAAGTTACATGTGCATTTCCAACCGCACGGGATGGTCAGCACCAATAACTTCTATGTTGTTCAAGGGTCAACTGTATATCCTTTCTAGTATGTACTATGCAGAAATAAAACCACTGAAACAGGGTAAAGCCATAAACACACTCTGGATGTACATGGAGTAAGAAGGCATCTTATCAGTCAAGACATGCTTTTGTCATTTACCTTCAAAAACTTCAGGTGCCATCCAAGCAGCACTCCCCTTGTTATTGGTCATATGAGTCTGAATGTCACAGGCTGTACCAAAGTCACAGATTTTTAATACTGTCCCGCCTGCAACCAGCAGCAAGCTGTTTACAAAACAACAAAAACAAAGGTTGTAAGACCAACACTTGATTATCTACAATAAAAGAGGAGGCATTTGTGGTAATAGAAATGGTTAAGCAAAATGTCATCAACTTTTGTCAAACACTTCTTGGTCACTCTAATAGCTCAATGGTTCAGAGGAATATTAGCAAAAAATAAATTGCCTTAACCTAGCTCTCTTAGGGAGACTGCTAGATCCACATTTTGATGTCTTCATCTCTATCTCCATAATCTTTCCTGACTATACATCTCTCTGGGCCAAAATAAAATATGGATTTAAAAAAGTTCTAGTAGGTCAACATTATGTGTTCTAAAATGGAAGTAAATGGATATCAATACTTTTGTAAGTCACTTGTCCCCTAAATTCAATCTACCTATTGCAGTGTTTTTCAAGCCAATGGGCTGTAGGTGGAAGTGATGTAGTTCTCTTTTAAGCCTGGCCATAAAAATCTCCCACATATATATATTTCTTTTCCTTTCCTCATATGCCATGGAGTGCAGAGGATTTTGAGCTACAAGGAGCCTGGGATCCTGAGCCACCACATGAGAAACTTACTATTTCATTTTGGACTTCACATGAGTGGAAAAAAAAACAACAACAACAAACAAACTTGTATTTTGTAAAGCTATGAGATTTCAGAGCTTACCTACTGTTAACAGTGCAACTCTAACCGATATAAGAAATTGGTGTAGAAGTGGATGCTGCTATAACAAAAATCTAATATATTTGATATTAACTTAGCAACAGGCAGCAAGAAAGCTAAAACTGGAGACTGGAAAGAAACAGATCCATGTAATGACATGGCAAAACACTTTGTAAAAATTGTCTCCTATGATAATGTGGCCTTGAAGGACTGGAAAAGCTGACTGCTTCTAAACTCCAAATAGCAGGAAATAAGACTGACAAAAGCCCTTAAGACTCAGTACCGCAGCAAAGAACAAATTAAGAGAAAGTACTTCCCACCTGAACGTAATAGTTTAATTAAAATGTTCCGCTAAGAAAAGGCAATGTGGCCAGAAATCAAATAAACCAGGTTCAATATTTTGCCTAAGAAAGAATTCTGGTAATAGTCACAGGCACATGAAATTGACTGGAACCAGGGTGATCATAAGCCTACTCTTGAGGAAATTAATACTGTCAAATGAACTACAAATTTCTAAATAAGACTTTTGATTATTTTGAGTCTTACAACAATCCTCAGGAGCCCAGATTTACATAACCAGTGTGCAGCTGGGAAATCTGTACAGCTTTGGAGGAGAGTATACACCAATACCCACATCTGGCATAGTATAAAGAATGCACAAGGGGGAACCCACGAAAGGGTGAAGCTTGGAATCATGAGCAATGGATAAGGGAGTTCCTTTTCAAGGGCCAAAGGTCTGATCAAGACCCCTCTTACAAATCCAGGGCAGAGGGACCAGACAATGCCAAGACTTCACCCCTAGAGACTAGGAACTACTGTATGCCTCCATGCTTCCCTTTCCCCAGTGGAAAGTTTTACTGATTGCCCCATCTTTCAGCTATTATGTATTGGGTGAATGGGGAGAGAGAGAGGTGACAGATAACTTGTCCTTTCAATTCATTCGTTTCCAAACTATGGAAGGCCACAGGTGGAGGACTGCATGTCATCCTGAGCTGTTCATCCGGATGGTGAACTGGATGGTGACTGTTAGAGCCTTTGAGATGTTTAACTGGTGAAGAGCCGTGAGTGGCTCTAACCGGTGGTTAGAGCAGTAAATACTCTGGGTGACTGGGACTGGCCATCTGCTCATAAAAGCCATCCCCTTCTTCCTCTGGGGCATACTAGACATTTCCCAACTTCTACTGTAGGTAATTATACCTAAGACTGAGTTGGGGCCACTGAGGGTGGGAGGGTCACTTCCAGGCCTTGTTCAAAAAACCTCTCATATGTGATCTCCATTCTCTTTATCTGCTGGCTGAATGCTTAAGTTCCCAAAGTCCTGGAGGACGGCGGAAGTACAAAACGGAGGGAGCTTAACTGGGTCCTTGAATGACAATGCGGAAGATCATCTGCCAAACAGGAACCCCTCTTTTGGATTTCACATGCATGAGCAATAAATTTCTATTGTGATAAGCCCAATATTAGCTACAGCAGCTGGTTTTAACTAATATTCCTAGCTATTAGGATTCCTTTAAAGAAACCGATACTCAGAGTTTTAGGTATTTTATATCCCAATGTAACTTATTATTCCTATAAAAACTGAAATCAATATAAAGCACTTTAAAAGTGCAAAAAGAACTATGAAAGTAAAAGACAGTTTTATTACCTTACTCAAAAGTTAAACATTTAAATGTGTAAAACACTCTCTATATCATTACCTAAAAAGCTGAAAGTCTATTTTCAACATTTTGAGGAACCTCCATGCTGTTTTCCAGAGTGGTTGCACCAGCTTGCATTCCAACAGTGTAGGAGGGTTCCCCTTTCTCTGCATCCTCGCTAGCATCTGTCATTTCCTGACTTGTTAATTTTAGCCATTCTGACTGGTGTGAGGTGATACCTCATTGTGGTTTTGATTTGTATTTCCCTGATGCCAAGTGATATCGAGCACTTTTTCATGTGTCTGTTGGCCATCTGGATGTCTTCTCTGCAGAAATGTCTGTTCATGTCCTCTGCCCATTTCTTGATTGGATTATTTGTTCTTTGGGTGTTGAGTTTGCTAAGTTCTTTATAGATTTTGGACACTAGCCCTTTATCTGATATGTCGTTTGCAAATATCTTCTCCCATCCTGTCAGTTGTCTTTTGGTTTTGTTAACTGTTTCCTTTGCTGTGCAAAAGCTTTTGATCTTGATGAAATCCCAATAGTTCATTTTTGCCCTTGCTTCCCTTGCCTTTGGCGATGTTCCTAGGAAGATGTTGCTGCGGCTGAGGTCGAAGAGGTTGCTGCCTATGTTTTCCTCAAGGATTTTGATGGATTCCTTTCTCACATTGAGGTCCTTCATCCATTTTGAGTCTATTTTCGTGTGTGGTATAAGGAAATGGTCCAATTTCATTTTTCTGCATGTGGCTGTCCAATTTTCCCAACACCATTTATTGAAGAGGCTTTTCTCCATTGGACATTCTTTTCTGCTTTGTAGAAAATTAGTTGACCATAGAGTTTTGGGTCTATTTCTGGGCTCTCTATTCTGTTCCATTGATCTGTGTGTCTGTTTTTGTGCCAGTACCCTATGACCCAGCAATTGCACTACTGGGTATTTACCCTAAAGGATACAAACGTAGTGATCTGAAGGGGCACGTGCACCCGAATGTTTATAGCAGCAATGTCTACAATAGCCAAATTATGGAAAGAACCTAGATGTCCATCAACAGATGAATGGATAAAGAAGATGTGGTACATATACACAATGGAATACTATGCAGCCATCAACAGAAATGAAATCCTTCCATTTGCGACGACATGGATGGAACTAGAGGGTATCATGCTTAGCGAAATAAGTCAATTGGAGAAAGACAACTATCATATGATCTCTTTGATATGAGCAAGTGGAGATGCAACATGGGGGGTTAAGGGGGTAGGAGAAGAATAAATGAAACAAGATGGGATTGGGAGGGAGACAAACTATAAGTGACTCTTAATCTCACAAAACAAACTGAGGGTTGCTGGGGGGAGGGGGGTTGGGAGAAGAGGGGTGGGGTTATGGACATTGAGGAGGGTATGTGCTATGGTGAGTGCTGTGAAGTGTGTAAACCTGGCAATTCACAGACCTGTACCCCCGGGGATAAAAATATATTATATGTTTATTAAAAAAAAAAAAAAAAGCTGAAAGTCATGTGTAAACAAGAAGTAATTCTACTTGTTTTCTATAAAGAAATAATTCTTTATTTTGAATCCCTTTCAACCACCTTCTCTTACACAAAAAAGATATTTTTGTTTTACAGCCAACATTTATTTTATTTTTACTTATTTTGTTTCACCATTCCTTCTTGAATCTTATACTTGTCCTACATAACCATTTTCTTTCTATCCCAACTACCTTCAATTAAGGTCCATTTATAGTGAATTCTCTCAGGTTTTGTTTCAAAACATCTTTTAACTCCCACCTTCTTCTTAGAAAGTAATTTAGGGCAGGTATACTATTTTCTCTCAGCTCTGTGAAGTTATGATTCCAGTTTTCCAGATTTTACTAATGGTGCTGGAAAGTGTACTTCAATCTGTCAATACTTTGTAGGTAATCTCTTTTCTGATCAGATGATTTAAAAATCTCCCTTTTGTTTTTGTTCTTCTGTAGCTTCACTAAGGTGTGTCACAGGGTAGACTTCATTTATCCTGCTTAGAAATCATACCTTTGTCCAGAAAATTCCTGGCCAATCTCTCTCTCTAAAAATATTTCATTTATTTACTTGGCAGAGAGAGAGAGATCACAAGTAGGCAGAGAGGCAGGTATAGAGAGAGAGGAAAGCAGGCTCCTTGCTGAGCAGAGAGCCTGATGCAGGGCTCGATCCCAGGACCCTGAGATCATGACCTGAGCCGAATGCAGAGGCCTAACCCATTGAACCATCCAGGTGCCCGTAATCTCTCTTGAATTATAAACTCTCTCCATCCTATTTTCTTCTACTGGAGTTCTGTGCTGTTAGTCCTATCTTTCCTTTCCCTGTGTTCCTTAACCTATTATTTTTCTCATTTATTTATTTGTTTGTGTTGCATTCTGGGTAGTTACAGATATATCTCACAGCTCACCAATTCTCTTGTCACCTATTTCAGATCTGCTAGTTTAAATTTTTAATTATTCTTAAATGTTGAATTTTGTTCTTTTGGTCATTTTGTATAGTTTATTCCTTGCACACTTTAATTCCTTTTTGGGGGTAAATTATATAAGCATATTTACTTTATATTTCATATTGATAATTCCAAATATCTGGAGTCTTTTTTTTTTTTAAAGATTTTATTTATTTATTTGACAGAGAGAGATCACAAGCAGGCAGAGAGGCAGGCAGAGAGAGAGGAAGAGAAGCAGGCTCCCTGCTGAGCAGCGAGCCCGACGCAGGACTCGATCCCAGGACCCTGGGATCATGACCTGAGCCGAAGGCAGCGGCTTAACCCACTGAGCCACCCAGGCGCCCCCAAATATCTGGAGTCTTAATATTTGAGGGCTTACTTCTGCTTTGTGTTATTTCTGCTGACTTTTACCCATGGTAACTTGGACCCTTATGGATGTGGTAATTTTTATTGTGGCTTCATATCTGATCAATTTTAATCTGGAATAATTAAAATCTGGACTGAAAACATAGGACTTTATTTTTAAATTTTTATTATTTTTTAAAAGATTTTATTTATTTATTCGTGAGAAATATATATATATATATATATAGAGAGAGAGAGAGAGAGAGAGAGAGGCAGAGGGAGAAGCAGGCTCCCCACTGAGCAGGGAGCCCGACGCAGCACTTGCTCTCAGGACCACGAGATCATGACCTGAACCAAAGGTAGATGCTTAAATGTCCGAGCCACCCAGGCGCCCCAAAACATAGGATTTTAAAATGGAGTTTCACTTACTACTAGATGCCGTGGGACACTACCAATCCCAAAACACTTTCAATCTATTTTGTTGGGATTTTTCTGGATTGTGCAAGCAGGGCAAATTCAACTCGCAACAACATACGGGGAGACCTCTGTTAAGAAATAAATGTCTGCCTAGTCAGAAAACTGGTATTTTTTCTAGCCTACTTTTAAGTTGTTCCCTCCAGGAATCCTAAATTTATGGAGAGATCTCAGTTCTGCTACTTCACCTGGTGCAGAACACAGGACCTACCTCCAATTACACAAGAGCCATTAACACCAGGGCTTTACATTTTTGATAATGACAGCTCACAATAGTTTTAGCTTCCATGCTTGGATTAAATTCTCTCAGGATTCAGTGCTTTCCATTTTTTGTCCTGATGATTTCTCTTTTCTTGTAAGATCACCTATACATGTAAAAGGATATTTGTTGTCATACACATTTATCTCTGGGTGTTTGTTGTAGGATGGTTTTTCAGTTGATCTGGTTCGCCATACTCTAGAGTGTCAAAATTCTTATCATGTGAGCATAAGAATCAAAGCCACATTTCTATACAATCTCTATCAGCACTCACAGGTTGTTAGGATTTAAGTGCATAGATACTGTAGCTTAACTTTATGCGGTTTTCAAACCAGGGTATGAAACCTTGCCATTATATTAGTGTATGCCAGGATAAGTGGCAGGGAGCCTACAAAGCCTTAAGTTAAAGCTAGCACTTCTCCATGGACCATCACTTTTACTCAGTTTTAAGTATTTTTAACATCCTAACACTGATTTTAAAACAAATTACGCAATATATGCAGGTGAAGTAAAATGTGCATGCAAAATTCCTAAAGAAGGGTTATTTGGGCTCTGTCCCTAGTCTTAGAATGGCTGAGGTTACATTATATCACAACTTTGTTCTGAGGGGTAGGAAAGTTTGAGAAGCACCAACTTAGGGCATTAAAAACTATGCAGAATCTCAAAACATTAAAAGACTCAGTAGCACTCTGTTTTCTAAAAACAGCTCTACAAATCAAGTCTTCTGAGATTGCTTATAAGACCAAGAATAGTTTCAAGTACTTACTTAAGAGGTAACAGAAATATTATTTATCTATTAAAAATGAGGCTAAAAAATAAAGAGGTAAATATTTGAATACAGTGATATGAAAAGATGTCCAAGTAAGTGAAAAAAGAAACATTATATACAGTATAACCCATACATTGTTAAAAAAACAAAACAGTGGTTACCTTTGAGGAATAGGAGGCAGGAAAGACTTGCTTTATATTTTTCTAACTATTTGAATTTGTTTTTAATCACAAACATGTATTATTTGAGAATAACAACATATAATTTAAAGAAAAAAGTAAAATAACCTCTAAGGAAGAAGGAAAAAAATGGTCCTTATTTTAAATATCTTTATTTTTAAGATACTTCTAAAAATGTTCAAACCCAAAACCATTCTTATGCTTTGAATGTGTGTGTGGGAGGAACATAACTCTTATTATGGTTAGACTAATTTAATGAAAGATTTCCAGAAAATTTTCTGAATTTAAGATTCTGATTTTCCTAGGTGCTATATTACCCAAATATATTCACCAAGTAGTATACCCTTACTTAAGTTTTCCTCTTGATGACAAACAGAAATAAAGATAAGTTGTACCATCACACTGTAGTAATATTCAATAGCAGTATATGGGGTCCATTGAAATTACAATTTTTATACATTCTTTATATATAATTTTCATATTAAAATTCTAACTGGAGAGATTATTTAGGAATTAGTTTCTTTTTAGTCCAACGACTATGATAAACCAGATAAACTGCTACACACATTTCCATAATGTCACAAATACTCCTATAATAACTGAAGTGGAAAGAATGCTAAATGCAATTTACCTTTATATGCACATCAACAAAAAACTTCCTGTTTCACTGTTCTTGTTCCAGCTCTAACTACTCTTTACCCAACAAAAGAACTATAACTGGTTTTCCTTGTTTCATCTTGATAGATTCAATTTTTTCTGAATGACTTTTACATTATTATTATTATTTTAATTAGTACTCCTTCACTAAGATTTTAATATGCCATTAGCCATGAGCATGATATTCAAGGCTCACTGAAATATGCACCTAAACGTTCTCTGTAGGCTTACATTCACACAGCTGGGATCAAAAACACACTTTTATTTCTTAAGTACATGCGAACGAACCTGCAAAAGATTAATAAAATAGGGCACAAATTGACATTATATAAAATACCTAACCAAATCATCAGGTGCCTTCTTTATATGCCATTCAGAGGAATTCTTCCTGACCACAGAATCCACAGGTTTTCCAGTGACAATAACATAGTACATGTGCTTGTATATATAATTTCATATGAAAACACAGCCATTTCAAAGAATTTTCTTCCCAGTACATTCTGAAAAATCAGTTCTAACTCTAAAGCCCAGTTTGAATACGGATGTCCCAAAGATAATCTGAAATACTACAGGATGAGTGCACACATAAGGATGCCCAAGAGGAATGTATGACCTAAGCCAGACTTCCTGTAAATATACTGATGGTATTTATTAGCAAAAGTTACAGGCCCTATCTACAAATGATTTTAGTAGGACATAACTGGTCTAAGTAGGTTCAGTAAATACATCTAATATTTATGGATTTATGGAGTATGGGTAGATAGAGAATGAAGGTAGTTATTTTAGTTGTAAAATTATGGAATAGAAAAGATGTTGGAAAACTCAAAAGACTTCCTTTTGTGAGATATTTTCATGTATATTGTTTAGAAATAGTTATTTCAAAGCTGAAATGTGACCTAATGCAGAAGAAAAGGGATACTTTTGAAGAGTTCCATCTAATAGTTTCTGGATCTTTCAGAAAAAGACGCTATGTACCTGATGCTTGCCTATATCTTTTGAATCATTAGTCAATTTGTTGCTGGATAAGAGCTATGATTCTCATTAATTTGTTTTGATAATTCAGCTGTGTGTTAATGAAGAGGAGCAAAAGAGGACTCACGCTTCATAAAAAAGAAAGAAAGACAAAGTGCTTTTTTCTTCACTATTCATATTCAAGATAGGCAGCTAAGGCAATAGCCTCAAGGAGTCAAGTTAAAAAAAATGTATGTCATGAATCTAGGTCTTAAACATTATTTGACCAGGGACCTGGGGCAAGAGAAATCAGTTTAAGTCTGAGACTAGAAATAAGGTACACTAGTGAGAACAGTCATTCCAAGAGCTGAAACCTATGTAGAAAGTATCAGATCAGACATAAGAGTGACAAGTTGTACCCAGAAGGGACACTTTAAAGCTACCTGTATCAAGAGAAACGAATATTTGAGACTGATTTCCTAGGGAAAACCTCTTACACAAGGACTGATGTGGTGGCAGAGGGAGTGGGAAGAGAGAGAATGGCATGTGGACTTTTTTTTTTTTTTTTTAGCTCTGTCACAAGTGGATAAAGAAGAAAAAAAAATCTGAGAGAAAAGGGGACAACCCACATGTGTGTTTTCTTTAACTGAGTACCTATGCAAACAAAAAAACCCCTAAAGTTTTAGCCTTCTAAAGTACTTATTTAGGGAGTTTTTAAGTTCTTTCCAAGTCCTAGGATCCTTAATATGAAGAAATCCAGAATATTTTCATTTTCTACCCAGAAGCCAGAAATGTCCTTTTGCCTTCCTCTAAAATGGCAAATAATAACCACTCTGTAAATTTTTGCAGAATGTCCACTACATGTGGACATTGTACTAGCTATTAGGAATATAGTGGGGAATAAGACAAACTTGTCTTTGCTTTTTTATGGAACTGTCTGGGGGCAACAATATATAGAGCAGGCACAAAATAAGATTTATAGGCTAACCAACTGCAGAAGTATGCTAATCGACAGCAAGAATTATTAAAATAAAAATCTGACGAAGATTTAAATCCTAGTAAAGACAACATTTTAAAATGCAAGCTTAGAGAAATGACTAAATAATGAAGGTGAGTTAAAAATAAACACTCTCAAACAAGCCAAAAAGGAAGAGAAAAGATAAAGTCAGGTGCAACAATTAGCTTGAATTAGGAAGTGGATGGAGGGCTGGGCGGCAGAGACAGAGACAGACACCACACTATTAGAACTTACTTTGGTGGTTTCAGGTCCCTGTGAATTAGAGCTTTGGGTTGCATGCTGTGAAGATAAGCCACTCCTTGGGAACACTGTAAACACCAACTCATTGCATGGGCAGCAGTGTAATATGGCAATGGTTCAGCACCATGCAGCACTGCAAAAGAAAGGCACAAACTAAAAAGAACTTTATTGCATATAAAAAAAGACACAAGGTGAATGCGAGCACTATTGGAACACATGACTGGGTATTTTCCTACTCATGCTCCCATCACTTCTGCTTTTAATTCTTTTCTAAATACAAAGATGGAAATATCTAATAATTTCAAATGGGTAACTATCACATAAGCACCTACAATGTGATACTTCTATTAAATGTTATACCTACACTCGAGCAAAATTAATATGAATCACCACACTTTTCCACATTGACAGTCTTTCACACAATAATGTGACTTATAAGCAATGTGATGGCATACTACTGTAAGAGAAGTACAGAGAAGTAGTACAAAAAGAAAATAACGTGTGTCAAGATACTTAAAATTATGCTTTCTACAATAGCTAAAAACTAGAAATAATTCAACCAAGTAAGACAATGGAGTATTAGAGATACCCATCAACAATGAACACATGGGCAGTGAATATAAGTAAAAATTTAAATAAAATGGTAATTAAAAAAAATAAAATACAACCATTTATTTTATACAAATGCAACAATTAATATACTTACTATCTGGTTGGTATTTCTTAAGAGTGAAAAAGTTAGCTCTGTTCTGTAAATATAACTAAATGACCTAGTTTCTTTGTTATAATTAAAATGTTTTCTGAAGTTTTCACAATTTCATTTTTTGTAAAGAGAGCAAATTAAGAGGAATGAAATGGAAGAAAGTATGTTTAAAGAGTTCTCAAATTAGGAGGCTCAAAGCTAAGAGAGGACAAAAAGAAAAACATTAAAAGTATGAAGATATTTTAAAATCTATTTAAAAAGCAAATTTTACTTGACTTAAATGCTTTTAACATTATGAAAAGTACCATCAATTGAAAAGATTGATATACTCAGACTTCTAAATTTCACATACTAATGTTCTTTTCATTTCTTATCTTTAGCAGATTTATTTTTAATTACCTCCTTTTGAGATTCTGAAGGTAAGCTGTAAAGAAAATTAAGTAACTAACAGTGTATATGAAAAGCTTTTCAATGATTTTACTCTATTAGATAAAGACAGGTCTAATGACACTCACCATTATATAAAGAGCCCCCTTCAGCATATTCCATCACAAGACATACCTGAAAGAAACATATGTCAGTATAATTAACCACAGGGCTATAACATCTTAGGTGACTTGAGAGAGAACTGAGTTCAATCTTTAATTTTAAAAATGCACAAGAAATTATTCTTTTGATTTCTGCTATGTGAATGGTACTAATGGAAAAAAGAAGGGGATCTATGATCTAAGGCCTTGTCTTATAGGGGCCCACTGTCCAAGAATGCAGGTGTGTGTAAAAAGATAATTGCCAGAACTTTGAAAGCTTTCTCCAGTGTTGAGTAGATACTGGCACAGAACATCATGAGCCTCATAAGATGAGGTTAATGGATAAGACCACCCAAGATAACTCTTGCAATATACTGTGTTGCTAACAGACTACAAACAAATACGTAAAGGGTAATTTTTACACTTTTAATTTAAGAAAAAATAACAGATCAAAATAACTTCAGAAACTACACACCTGCAAACATTTACTATGTCAGTGCTTATAGACAGGTGACAATGAAAAAGTGACAAACTTACTGGATTCAAGCAGGCTCCATATAGCTTTACAATATTAGGATGGTTCACACGGGATAACTGTCGAAGCTGTAACAAATTAAGGTTTCTTTTAAAAGATGCTAATTTTTGAGGAATTGATTACATTATATCATTACAATTTTAGGGTATATAAAATATTAGTTTAATCATTTAACAATCATTATTCACTATGTAGCAGATGCTGTGTCATAAATGCCTGCCCAGAATGGAAAAGATTCCCTGCCCTGGAGCTCTCACACTTTATTTGGGAGACAGACATGTAAATGAATAACTAAGGCAAAATGCAAAGTGCTATAACAGGAGTATGAACAAGCCATGATAAGTACAAGTAAGAAAAAATAAACTTTAACAAGAAATGTTAGTACACCATCCCAGAGAGGGCACTGAGCTTAGTTATCCAAGGCAAATGAAGCTATGTCACCATCATCACCTTCAGAGTTATGGCTGCATAGCCTACCTCACTCTGTACCAGGTCCTGGTGGGCATTTAACAGATACTACGTAATTCTCACAACTCTGCAAGGTAGGTATTGTCATTTCTGCCTATAAGAAAAGAGACCTTTGGGGCGCCTGGGTAGCTCAGTCAGTTAAGTGGCTGCCTTTGGCTCAGGTCACGATCCCAGCGTCCTGGGTTTGAGCCCCATCTCAGGCTCCCTGCTCAGCAGCGAGCCTGCTTCTCCCTCTCCAGCTCCCTCTGCTTATGTTCCCTGTTATCTCTGTTATAAATAAATAAAATTTAAAAGAAAAGAAAAGGGACATTTAAGATAAAGCTCAGACAGGGCTAAGGGAGAGGTTAAATAACCTATTGCTACTGCCAAGGTTTCAACTTTGGTTCATCCAACTTAAAATCTGTACTCTTTCTGCATATGTGTATGGTCTTCTTCCTTCTCCCATCTCTTGAATTAATCGCGTCCTCTCCATTCCCACTACCACTGCCTTAGTAATTCCAACATGAATTGTTGCAGTAATCACTATGGTATGTTCCTAGCTGTTCTCCCTACTTCCTAATGATAGTACCAGGTACCTATGCAAATAATCTTCCCCAATCCAATGAATCACATTGAGGTCGGTGAGAGGTTTGGCTGTACTGTTTCTCTTGCTCTACACCCCAAACTTCTATTAATGTGTCCCTCCAAACTGCACTTACTCTTCCTTCTCCTCTCTTTTCTGTCTTTTCCCCTCTCTTTCTCTTCTCTATTATCCACACTATACAGCCGGCTCATATGAAGGTTAACCTTTTTACTATATGTCACTAGAAAGCTGTATTTCTCTATAGTCAACACTTGTGTATTTTCAGTCCCAACACAACAATTACTATTTATTATATTCATTTATTATATAAAAAATATATTTATGGTATTTCGTCTTCTAAAGGTTTAGCACTAAGCTTCGGATAGCACATTATTTAAGCATTTCTTTCTTTATTTTGTTAAGATTTTATTTTATTTATTTGTCAGAGAGAGAGAGCACAAGCAGTGGGAGAAGCAGGCAGAGTGGGGCAGGGAGCCCAATATGGGACTTGATCCCAGGACCCTGGGATCTGACCTGGGCCGAAGGCAAACACTTAACCAACTAAGCCACCCAGATGTCCCTTAAGCATTTATTTCTGCTCCTTCCCCAAATCCTACCAAGATATTACAGGCATTTTTTCAAGGCACAAATTCAGAAAGATGAAGAGAATGTCAAATGAGGAAACAGCACATGTTTCTGGAAGCTGAAAAGCAAATGACTAGCAGTAACTGACACAGTGGACCTAAAAAAAAATGAGAAAAAAATGAACAGAAATGAGATTAATTTCATAAAACCTACAAAGGGTTGGACCGATGGTACTACCAGGAACCTATGCAAATAAGCCAACAAAGGAACAGAGAGATTAGTTGAAAGGCAGACCAGATTCTCTCCTTTCCTGACTTCAGTTTAGTGACTGCCTCTTTATCATCCCAATGATTAGAGTCTCTCGATTGGGGGACACAAACAAAACTAAGGGATGAGCTCAAAGTAGTTGCCTTGATAAGCAAAAAACTTGATGGGAAGAGGTCTGGGTATTAAAAAGTTTTTAAAATAAGACTATGTGGAGAACTATTTGACAATCTGAATTACCTGTATGTATAACCTTGATAAAAATTTTTTTATCCAACCTATTATAATGTTTTGACTCCTAATTCCTAGCATTTAACACATATGCTCTTAGCTAGTTTTGTGAAAGTACCAATGCACTTTTAGACCTTATTTCAACCATAAACAAAAATCATGAATAAGGCAATGCTGAGGCCACTCTTGGAGCATACTACTAGAGATCACCTTTTCTTCATGAGGACCCCAAATTATCAACATTTCTCAACTCATTCAATTAATTACAAAAATCCCCTTCATTGTATCCCAACTAAATTTTCATTCTCCATATTATACATTTAAAAATATCATAAAGTATATTTGCAAATTATAATTAAATATAACCACAGACATAAATTCAGAAAGGTTTGTAAGGTAAAGACCACTTATCCATTGGCCAATGAGGGGGAAAAAAACCCCACTAATTTAACGAACTACTGTGATCTAATATACAAAATAGTTCAAAATTAATAAAGAATAAATCTGATAATACAATTACTATTATTAAATTCATGATTATTGAATTCTTGATCACTGAATCTGTAAGAGAACAGAGTTGTAGATTTTCATGCTAAATGAGAAAAAAAATCAAATTTGAAATTATTTCCCTGTAAAGTGATCTCATTTGAATTTCTAAAAATATTCAGTCAATAATGAATGCATAAAATTTCCCTTCTTAATTTTAGATAATGGGATAGAATACCATTTCTATTCTAAAATTTAAATCCTATGCCTTGAAATAGATCTGAATTACACAGATGATCTGTATTTTAATTCAGGGATGAATTCATTTATGTGGTTAAAAGTCTTTTCCCCCCAATTTTTAATTAAAATTAAGAGTGTGAATGAAAAATGTTTCTACAGCATTATCTTTGGTTCAACCAAATGTTAAGGTTCAAGTATACAGGGAAATGACAACTGGGAAATAACTTTTTCATATTAAATTCACAGAATATCTTTGGTAAAGAACTATACATTAGAAAAAACATTACAACTTACCTCTACAATAAAAGCTTTCCTCTCAGATTCACTTTCTATTTGTTTAATAGCAACATCTTTTGCTCTCCACTTAGCTTTGCAAACCACTCCAAAGGCTCCTCTTCCAACAACCTGAGTTAAAACAAAACAAAAAACAAACACCCATGAGAATCAGAAATAAATAGATTCAGCCCAACATAGAACACTGAAGCCAACTTGAAAGACTTATTAAAAGATTTAGAAATCATCACTATCTGGATTTGCCACTGAGCAAGTACAATGTTTCATTAAAGTGAGGAAATAAAGAAATGAACTTATCTCTGTCTCTGAAAGTTTATAGTCTAGACAGCTCTTTATTGTCAGGTAAAATCAAACAACAAACAACAAAGACCCCTGGAGCAAGAAAACAAATTAAAACTGGCAAGATGAATGAGAGGACAGAAAGACTACGTTTGGGAAAATAAATATAAAAAGCAAGAACATACAATCAATGTTTTTAAGCTATCATATTCATGAAATTAAACATAGCTTTTGTATAGTTCAGTAGGGGTATGAAACAGATGTGAAAGGATAAAAATACAGATGATAAAACACTGGGACTGCAAAGACAAACGAAACAAGGTATTACCTATACAAGAGAATACACTTTTCAAGAGAAAGAAATGAACTACTAATTGATACATGCTATAATGTGAATGAACCTCAAACACACTATACTAAGTGAAAGTAGCTGGACACAAGAAACCATATCCTGTATGATTCCATTGACATGAAATGTCCAGAAAAGGTAATTCATAGAGATAGAAAGTAGATCAGTGGTTGCTTGGAACTGACTGTGAAAACTGGGATTAACTGTAAAGTGGTAGAATGAATATTACCAAAGGGATGAAAATGTCTGAAAACTGATTTATGGTGACAGTTCCATAACTTGGCAAATTTGACAAATGACTAATAGTTCAAATGGGTGAATTTTATGATATGTAAAATATCTCGTTAAAGTTATTTTTGAAAGTTATAAAAGAATGATTGGCTATGTATTGTATTACTGTTGACAGCTAAGTGATGGGTACCTCATGGGTTCACTGCTTTCTCACACTACGCTTTCTACTTTCACAAATGTTTGAAATTTGCCCTAATATAAAATCAACAAAAGAATAGCTTTTTATCCTTGTAAATCAAAACCATTAGATTTTCATCACTGTAAAGGACCTTAGTTAAGTGTCGTCTACTCCAATTTTTCAGTTCCCAATGTATCTAAATACTTCGTATCAATGCTTTCTCCTTAAGTGAAATATCTACCTCTGTACATCTCTCATTTATGATACACTTTCTATGTAACGCTTTACTTACATTATCCCATTTACACAACCATAGGAGACAGGTACTAATGCTATTGTTATTTTACAGATAAAGTACCTAGTTTTAAAGAAGGAAATGAACTTGCCCAAGGCTATATTCCTTCGTGAAGAGCAAGTGCAGTTTGATGCCAGAGAGTTTAACACCAGAATGTTAAGGATGCTAATATACACACACATATCTCTATTCTATGTCAGAAAAGTACCAGTTATCTTTCCTTAGAGGAGTTTTTACTTTAGACAAACTTTCCAAGAACAAATCCCTGGGTACAAAGCTCTTCTGTAACAAAGCTGGCTATAGCCAGGGTGATTAGGTAATTTATTATTTATATCAGAACTCTTTTTAGAGCAAGAAGAAAGTGCTAGTAATTACCAGGACGGTGGCTGTAAACTGGGATATATGGCCACTCTAGCCATAGCTCAAATCCTATTTCATACGTTACACAAAGCAGCATAGACGTTTCTCATGTTAAATAATATATAAAACTACCCAAATGGTTAAACCATGGGCCATTTACTGAATATTCACCATGTGCCAGGTACTAGTCTATGCGCTTTTCATGCATTCTCCTCTATTCTTACATTCTTCTCTATTTTATTTTGTCATCTCTAAGTATTTCTTTAAGTTTTTAGTTTTAATTCCAGAATAGTTAACATACAGTGTTATATTAGTTTTAGGTGTACAATATAGTGATTCAACAATTTTATACATTATCCAATGCTTATCATGGTAAGGATACTCTTTAATCCTTGTTACCTATTTCACCATTCCCCCTTCCACCTCCCCTTTGGTAACCATCCATTTGTTCTCTTCAGTTAAGAGTCTGTTTCTTGGTTTGTCTTTTTATTTTTCCTTGGTTCTTCTGTTTTATTTCTTAAATTCCACATATGAGTGAAACCATATGGTATTTGTCTCTGACTGATTAGCTTGGCATAATACTTTCTGGCTATATCCAGGTTGTTGCAAATGGCAAGACTTCATTCTTTTTTTATGGCTGAAAAATGTTCCTGTGCATGCGTGTGCGTGTGTACATATCCACACCACATCATCTTTATCCATTCGTCAATGGACACTTAGGCTACTTCCATATCTTGACTATTGTAAATAAACCTGCTGCAATAAACCTGGGGCAGGGGCATGTATCCCTTTAGTGTTTTCATTTTTTTTTTTTTTTTTTTTGGGTAAATACCCAGTAGTGCAATTACTAGATCACAGGGTAGTTCCTTTTTTTTTTTTTTAAACTTTTTAAAGAATTTCTATACTGTTTCCCACAATGGCTATACCAGTCTGCATTCCCATCAATAGCACACGAGGGTTCCTTTCTCTCCACATCCTTACTAACACTTGCTGTTTCTTGCTGTTTTTGATTTTAGTCACTCTGACAGATGTGAGGTGATATATCATTATAGTTTGAACTGCATTTCTCTGATGATGAGTGATGTTGATCATATTTTCACATGTCTGGCCACCTATATGTCCTCTTTGGAGAAATGTCTGTTTGTGTATTTGGCCCACTTTTTAATTGGGTTGTTTTTGGGTGTTGAGTTATATCTCTTGTAAGAGAAAGAAACCAACATCAATCATTGCACTAGTCATCCAGTTACTTTACCATGAATAGGTATTGGCTAAACCTGGCACCATCAGAATAAAGGAAAGAGCAGATCTCGGCTCTAAAATCCAACAGACTTGAGTTTGAATACAGGTCCTGTCTACATACTAGCTATTAATGCTGGGAAGATTAACATCTCTGCACTTCTGTTTTCTCAACAGTAAAAGGGAGATGCTTACAGTGTCCTCAGTGATATCTATAGGGTTCTTAAGAAAGCCAAACCCATGCATTTTCTTAAATCCTACAGAAGAGTAAGTGCTTAGAGTTAGGTATGGATCAGTGTAAGGAGCGATACTACTCATTTGTCTCACAATTAGCCATGATGGATAGCAAAAAAGGTCCTGAAAGAAATTTCAACTTTATGGCAACATTAGGCTAAGAAGGTATGGATAGAGACCAGACTATTAATATTACTACGAAATGATGATTATGAATTTAAAATATTCTTCAACCATATATTTAAAAATACCTCAAAGCAACTGGTACTTAGTAAGTCTCCTCCTGTTTCATTTTCCTATTCTCAGGAATACCCATGCAGGAATTCCAAACATTACATTTGTGGATCATTCACTTGTCACAAAAACTGTTAGGTGTTGTAGGACTAGTTGTGATGCAAAAGTGCCATCTAGTGCTGAGATAATGGCTGAATCTTGAGTTTTCAACTTAAAATCATGGGAACATAATGTGAACAAAAAAGGACATGATAAACTTTCTTCCATTTGCTAAAGAAACTAATTTCTGGGAACACTGACATATAAAACAGGCATATTCTTGTAAGATGAGAGCCCATGGCTTATTAAAAAAGCCTCCACTCATGTTAGGGCCATAAGAGACTTCACATATACAGTGAAACATATACAAAATGATAGTAAAGAAAGTATAAGATGCCTAAGGTTGTATACATAAACTGAAACTCATGATTAAAAAAAAATTGCTATGAATTCAAAGGAGTGACGTTAGAAGCACAGAATCAATGCTTAAAGAATTAAATTTCTGTGTATCAAATGATTCTGATCACCATTTCCAATGAACGAAGAGGACTTTCTTCACACCACCAAGCAATGCTCAGATACCAGCTAGGTATCTTATAATTCAGTTCAATTCTGACACTATCTACCTGGTCATAGCATCAGATCCTGCAGGTTAAGGGCTCCGTTCTACAAACCTGCCCCTTCCTCCCACAACTTCAGATGCCAGTCACAAGCCCAGGTGTAACTTGTGCTTCTGACCATGGCTACAGACTGGAGGTTCCAATGGCTCCCTCCTTGGGTTCACTTAATTTGCTAGAGTGGCTCACAAAACTTTAACATTTTACTTACTAGATTACCAGTTTATTATAAAAGGATATAACTCAGAAACCACCAGATGGACGAGAACCACAGGGTAAGGTATGCGAAAAGGGTAGAGGGCTTCCAAGACCTCTTCAGGAGAGCCACTCTCCTAGCACCTCTATGTGTTCACCAACCTGGAAGTTCTCCAAACACTGTTCTTTTGGGTTTTTATAGAGGCCTCATTAGACAGGTATGATCGATTAAACTTTGGTTATTGGCAAGTGGTCTGACCTCCAGCCCTTCTCCTTTTTTCTCCTCTCCCCTCCTTGGAGGTCAGGGGGATGGCAATGAACGTTCCAAACTTCTAATCACAAAGTAGCTTCTCCTTGCACCAACCCCTATCCTTTGGTAGTGTTCAAAGTAGCCTCATTACCATACCAACAAACCACATCATCTTTATCCATTCGTCAGTCAATGGACACTTAGGCTACTTCCATATCTTGACTATTGTAAATAATGTAATGTAAATAATGCCAATAAATATAATAATGACTATTGTAGACAATACCAACATATGAGAGAGAGAGAGAGAGAGAGAGAGAGAGACAAAGACAAAACATATGAGAAAGAGAGAGAGAGATTTTTATATCTCTCTTCACTTATGAACTTTTGAGGGTTTTGGGAGCTGTGAGCCAGGAACTGTGAAAAAGTAATATATATTATATATATTATTATAATATATAATATAATATACATAATATATAATATAATAATAAATATTAATATATTAAGAAATACATAGTTGGTCATTCAGAATGCAATATCAAAAAAAACTCCCATTTTTTCAAAGGCATAAATGTAGAGACATTAAGAGTTAACAAGAAAAAAAATAACTG